GAGAAATAGAAAGAATCAAAATAAACTTGCTTTATAAGCTTGTAAGCTTGCAGAGTCTCAGTTCACTGAAAAGATAAGAAGGGAAACGGAACGTTTTACATTCCCCGACCGAGCCCTTTATCCTTGCGTCCTTTTCTGAATCGTTACAACTGATGAACTATCTTTATTCGCTGTTTTGCATCTCTTTTGTAACTCGTTCCGGAATAAGGCTTCTCGAGGAAGTCGTACGGCTTGGATCAATTGCGGGTGATACTTGCCAAACTTTGATCGGATGTTCTGCCATAACGTGAGTTTAGAACAATAAAGGTTCATCTGACGTGTGAAACCCAAAACGTAGACGATATCTCTCTTCGTCGAAATTCTCGGTACGTTCAAAATCCAATTAGTTTTAAACAAATGAACAAACATGAAAAATTACACCGTCATTTTCATTTTTTCTTGATAGCCACATTTCTTTGGTGTATGCGCCAGATATCTCTGCAGATAATTAGTATAAATACGCCAAAAGTTTTCTGTTTTGCATTTATCTTGCTTCTTTTCTGGATTACAAGCTTTATTCTCCACTCGTCTCAAGAAAATTTTACGAAACAAACGTCATTTTCATTTTTTGTTTAGCGTACTAGCTAATTTCGATATTTACAAGCTTTTTTCATGCCTCAGTTCATTGCATTCTGTTAAAAAATGAATAAATAAATGATTAAATGGTGTTTATTTTCATTTAGATACAACCTTAATTTATATATATATATATATATATATATATATATATTATTACAATGAAATTGAAAACAATCTTTTTAAATTTCGATGCGAAATTTGCATTAGAGTAGCTAGCTTAGAAAATTTGCATATACTGCGAGTCCATCTAACTTAGCAAGTTAGTTTGACTCGTCCAACTTAAACTGGGTCTTGAACCCCAGAAGGCTATGTCTTCCCACCATCTGGAACTATTTTTTAACCAAAATTCTTTCTGTAGATACTACATGCATTAATCTATCCTGCTATGATTAAATAATATATTTAAAATCTAAGGAAAGTGAAATTTTGGGGTGCACAAAAAACTATACTTCTCCACGTTTCTAAGTAAACCATACATTCGGTGCATTTATTGGCAGTATAAATAATTTTTTTGTACTAAACATTGTAAATGTTCTACTTGTTCATAAGCTTTACCACCCCTGTCCCTAGCATATTGCTGCACATTACATCATAAAAAATCTTATATTTAGCTGTTAAACTGTTTTGGCTATTTATGATGAAATCCATCCAAATATTTCCGATTCAGCGATTTCGTGCAAGCAGTTTTTGCTCAAGATGGGATGTGAAGTTTAGTGGGTGTAGTTTTAATACACGTACTATGTAACGCTTTGAACACATCATTCCACCGATTTTCCTAAACATCACGATTTTTGTTTTTCTAGAAGTTCCACTTTTCAGCATATTCACTTTATCTTTTTATCATATTTGTAAAACTCTATTATCATCGGCGTCTGTAAAGTATTTATATTTGTATTGCCAACTTACAACCCACAACTATTTGCTTCCGGAAGGTCGTTCAGAAACAAGGGAAAGAATAGAGGAATTCGGTGTTGCAAAATAAACTTTGGTTTGCTTTAACTATCTTAGTTCACTCATCTAATGATTTCGATCAATATTATCGATGCAACAAATAGGGAATATAAATATTTCTTAGGTGGCGTACAAAATAATTTGATGGTACTAGTTATTGCAATTATCATATCATCTATGGCCCAGAGCCTATTTCTTAAACCTGCCTGTTAATGCTCAACAACCCTAAATGTTGTCTTAATGTTGAAAGTTGTTGTATATCTTACAAATTGAGTTTATAAAGAAAATGTCAGTACTGTTCTTGCATGAAAGCAGTTTCCCCTTCTTGGCAAATGGAAGGCAATAGATTTATGGAAACTATCTTTTAATTTAATTAAGTTTTAATAAATAGCGACGAATTAATTCGGAAGAAGTTTTAAAAAAATCATTTGGTAAACTACCATGTATTTTCTTTGGTCGGCCTCAGCACAAATGACAATTATTCCGAATTAAAAGCAGTGTCAGGTCGGGAATCTACAATTAAGGGTTCTACCCAACTAACAGGCATTGACTCAAATACAAAGTTAAATAGTCTCTTAAAAAATTCAAGCCATGCGGTTGTCTTTCTTTTCTGACTACACACAATTTTTTCTTGTTTAAATTAACTATTGTCCAGAATTCTCTACTATCCTGCACTAGATCTAATTTTCCGCCAACTAACCTGAAAAACTCATTTTTTATGCTTTCATTATGCCATTTTACAGCTTATTGCATATTAAATAACTTTCTTTAACCGTTGTAGAATTTATTTCTCTGTATAATTAAAAAATTCCAAAGATAAAATTTTCGTCTTTATACAGTGTCACAGCAAATTTTTATCAAAGGATATGCTTTGAGATGACCTACTTTAAAATGCACAATCAAATAATTAATCATCTTTAAAGCTGATTTGTTTTGGTACATAAGCAATACGCCAACAGTTTTCATTTATCGAGCTTACTTTCAGTTTTACAAGATGAATTTCCGCCAATAATTTCAAACCGGTATATAGAAAATAGATGGAAAACCGACGAAAACAAATGTTTCAATATCATCTTGCTTATTTTAATATTTACAGGACTTTGATTTTTATCTTCCATCAATTCCTTGGATTTTATTAACAAAAAATATACTGTACATAGGTCTGCAAGAAAACGAATACATTTTAAACTTGTTTATTTGAAACAAAAAAATTAAAATACGAAGTCTTTTAATCACTCGGAATTTGTCTATGTAAAAAACACAGTTTCTATTAAGAAAAAGCGTATCGTTGCGATGACAATTATGAAAAAATATTTAATTTGTTTTTTCTTTTAAGTTAACTAAATCCACAATGCAATGTTACGAATGCGCTGTCTTTTGAACTTCTTATCAAACCAGATAAAACATCTTGATCATGATGTGGTGATTATATCATGGTACAGATTGAAATTGTTTCATTTTTGTTATTTCTAGGCCTTTTTATTGTAAGACTTTTAAAAAATTGAACAAATGTGCACCGATTCGGCATCTTGTGCATTTCTCAAGTACAATTATTTATTTTCTTTATGCTAAAATAATTAATCTTAAACCAAATTTCAAAAATATTTGTCGATATTTATTTATTGTAATTATATTTCACATTATTTTTATTTTTAGGAATGTAGAAAAATACTTTTTACTAATATTTATTTATCGTATTTTAATTGTTACATTTTTAAAGTTTTTTTGTACTTTAGCTATAAAATCATTGTACTTTAGAAAGGCTTAGGATGCCAATGCTTTTACGTCTGAACAATCTATTAAAGTATTTTCCATAAAATTTCCTAGAAATAAAAAAATATTCAAAGGCAATGACACAAATAACAAATAAATACTGAACGTAGTTCAGATGTTTTCTCGTCTAGATTTTATTGAATTATACATTTGTTTTAATTATTGTGAGGGAGGAAAGGTGATGATTTTTTTCCGAAAATCAAATTTTTATTTTCCTGATCAGCTTCCTTATCTTGTAATGAATTATGTATACTAGTTATTAGATCAATAAATTTTATTAATTAAGCATTAATGCATGTGGAAATTTGTAAAAACTAACAGTTAGTGTTAGGGATTATGTGCCAGGGATTACCGATAACGCGATCGCTTGGACCGAGCGGCAGATCTCCAAGGATTGCCGTGCGGTAAACAGCCACGAGTTAGGAACGGATCAAAATTCTCCGGAAAACGTCTCTTCCGGATTTATTTTCTTTTGCGTGGATTTCCGCTTTTCGTATTTTTACAGGGCGCCTTCCTCACCAGACCTCGGCGATCGAACGAGCGCTGTTAGCGTGCGTTAGTAATTTTCCGAAAGGATATAGAGGTGGCTCTCCAATTCTCCGGACGTTTTTTGGAGCGTATATCGGCAGGACTGGAACTCAGGAGTGCTCGGCGACGGTTGCTGCTGGAACTACCCTTCATAAGCAAAATTTTTCTTTCACAGAAAAGACAGCATGCTGAAGAGATTTTTGTTTTGTACTAGTTGTAAGAATTTATTATTACTAATTTAGATTATAAGGTTTTGTTATTTTTTTTAAGTTAGTTCAGATCTGGTTTATGGATTATTATAATAAATATTATAAGTTTCTTTTTTTTAATTGTACTTTGTTTTGAACAGAAATAATAAACCCCCGATTGTAAAGTTAGTTTCGCATATATNATAAATAATAATACAATAAATAATACAAATTACCATTTTAATGAGAGAAACCTGAGTTTGAAAAGGACAAGGTAAGTTTGCTGATCAGCATCCACCGCCTAGTGGTTTTGCCTGGAGTGCGCCCCCTCCACCATAGCGAGTGTCCACCATGGAGTCAGCTAAATTTCTTATACGTACGAAATAGTTTATATTGTTTTCTCATATTTTTAGTTCTCTTTTTATTTATTGAATCTGTTTTTGGTATAAACAAGAAAAATACTTTTAGATGAAAGGGTTCCCCATTACGCACATCCTGGAGAAATTTGGGGGCATAAAATGGAGTGGCGCCGCCCAACTCAGTGATATTTCATTGGTGTTTAATTTTTGTTTCTTTGTTTTGTTTTGTAAATACGCCTTTCATTACCACCATCCATTTCCGACGAACTGCCGGAATAATTTTGCTCTGACCCGAAATAATTTTGGTTGTAACAATATTTCTTCAATAAAATGTTTTTAAAAGTAAAACTTTTTAGATGTTATAGTTTCAAAAAGCTTCATCTTATCTTTGCTGTTTTGAACTGTTCGGAGAAATAATCTAAACTCGTCTGTCAGAGCAAAACAGTGAGCCAGACAATCACAATGAGCGGAAATAAGAAACCAAAGGTTTACCTTTCGCAGACCCCGACAGAATATAGTTTTACGATGCCAGTATTGACTACACTGAAAAGAAAATGTTATATTATATAGAAAAATTTCTCACCTCCTCTAGGTACGTAAATATTCAAGTAGAGGCAGTCTTCGCTTTGGTTGACGAGAAGCGGGAGGAGTTTTTCGAGGTAGGTGAGTCTGCCCCTGGGAAGTTCGAGAAGGGCCTCGGTCCGGTTGCCGATGTACGGTTCCCTCTGAGGGCAGACGGGCGAAAAGGAGTCGGCTAGTCGAGGACTTCGCCACATGGAAGGCGTGACAGGCGGCATGTATCTCAGTGAGCCGAGGGGCGGGGTCGCATAAGGTACACCGAGGAACACCTCGACCGGAGGGTGTTGAATGAGGAGCCCCCTCAAGGGGCCGTACTTGGTCCGGACGACACGGGTGCTGTACTTGTGGCCGGGTACACCCGCTAAGCAGAGCAGCAGAGTCGGGATGAGCGCCCAGCTAGGCGGCATCGCGAGTCGCACCCACTTTTCTCCTTACCTTCCTCATCGCCCCATCTCCTCAACTCACACCCGCATCGTCCTCTAAAAAAAACACCAACAATTAATACTTTTAATACAAATCTAGTATAATCTATTTAATCTGATATTCTGATAAAAATACAAGCTGAAATGTTAGCCACAATGGCAATTTTCAAAGTACCCAAAATATAGATCAGTTCTTATGTTTTGTTTTTTTTTATTAATTGAAATACATTAGAACTACCTCCAAGTAGGTAAAATGTACAATGATCAAGGTAATATATACAAAATTAAAACCAAGAGTGGAGAAAACACCCATTTCCAATGTTACTAAAGTATTGTCGTTTTAATTATTCAGAAATCGTGAGATGCGGTCTGGTGTGATGTAGGTTAAAAGATTATCTTCAGGGCTCAAAGTGTTTGTCTTCTGTGTAATTGTGCTTGGGTGTCGTGTTGAGAGTATATATTGTCTGTTTAATTGATACTTTTGTCATTATCACTTTCACTATCATCACCACATCAGGTTCGATACATAAAATAGAGCAACAAGTTTGAATACGGTTTATGTTGGAATATTTTGCTGAACCCCACACCTCCATTCCGTAAGTTCACACCGGCTTAACTATGGTGTTGTAAAGCAGCCTTTTATTTTTAAGAAGTAAATTAGAACGTATAGTTCTATATCTTGTCATAACTTTGTCGTTCGTCATTTCATTCGTGTCTAAGGATTCCAGGTCAGGCGTTTGTCGATTTACAGTCCGAGGTACCGCACCCTGTCCGCAGTTGGAAGGGGAATATTATTTAAGAAAACAGGAAAGTGAAGGTAATGTGAGTAAATTTGTCTGTGTTAAATTTCATCCTTTTCGTTTTACACCAAGACTAGAAGTATGAGGTTTATTGGAAGTTTCGAGTGGAAATGACCAGGTCGGAGATGCTAAAGAGAATTGCTGTATCGTCTGCAAATGTAAATGAGATGGCATGTCAGCTGCGAACACCTGGTATAGTGTAATGGAAACGCTACTCTGAGGAACACCAGCATGGATGGGTAAATATTCAGAGAGGGAATGGCCTTCGATGACTTGAAGTTATGAAATTTTAAAATTTCTTTACATTGCATCTAAATCACCTAAACACCCTAGAATGCTGGCTCCGTCGGTGGAGAATCAAGATCAACGAAACCAAATCAACGAACATAATATTTACTCTAAACAAGAAAACACTCCCACTAGTATACCTCAACAACGTCCCCATCCCAATTGCGAACCATGTATGATACCTCGGACTCTTCCTGGACAAACGACTAACGTGGAACCCCCATACACGACTTAAACGCACAGACTGTAATATACGATTTTTCATGCTTAAACGACTACTCGACAGACGATCAAAACTCTCACTATTAAACAAAAGAAAACTTTACATTGCCCTCCTGGCCCCCATTTGGACATACGGTCTTGAACTTTACGGTACTGCTACGTGTTCCAACCTCAATCGAATCCAATCCCTTCAATCTAAAATCCTCAGAACAATAGTACAAGCCCCTTTCTATGTATCCAATCACACCATCCATACCGACCTAAATGTCCCTTTTGTTACCGAGCTAGCCCAATCCCGCTACAAAACGTACCATTCCAAACTACTCCATCATCCGAACCCTTTCGTCCAAAACCTGTCATCCACCACATTACCTAATAATCCCAACAGAAGACTGAAGCGTCGGTGGCCCCGCGACAACCTTAACAATTGACATCGGTCTCCTACGATGGAGTACATCTCGCTCATCGTATTGATTAACTAACGGCTACCATCACTGGATGGTAATTGTTCAAGCTTTCACGCTACCGTTAATAATTTTATATGTAAATACTATCCGTTTTACTTGTTGCGTCGAAGAATGCAGTTGTAAAAAACAAAAAAAAAGTTAAAAAAAAAAAAAAAAAAAAACATTGCATCTAGGGTAAACAGACCAGCTGACCTTTTATTGATAATTTCAGTTTCACCGTGCCGTTGAAAAGATTTATGTCTTCGCGAAGGAATTAGCTGTTCTTTTTAACGAACATCATTGCTGGTTGTCTTTCATTATAAAACTATAATATATATTGCTGATAATACGACAATAAACAAGGATGCATCCACTCGCGTGCATTGTGGACCATAGGAATGATATTCTACTTTCTCTGCGGACCATTAGTTCTTAAATAAATCGTCGTTAACGTTCCATACATTCTCTCCACGCCTTATACTACATTGTGTTTTATTTTGCACTCAAACTGGATATGGATTTGAATTGCTGACTCTTTACGAACTCTGCCACTTATGAGTGTAAATTTTTCCCCAATCTACACACAAAAAATAAGCTAAATATTACGTTAGTAGTGTTGTGAAGCTTAAATTTAAAAAACGTATATAAACATATATATGATAAAAGAAAAAAAAGCATTTTAATAAGTGGCTGGTCGAAATGTTCTTTTTGTTCTAAATAAGAATAAAATAAAAGAGGATGAGACGAAACGATAAAAGAGGATTTTCGAATGAGGTTATAAAGAGAGAGCGGGACATAAACTCAAGTTAACCTTATTCTACTCAGCCCAACGCTTCGGCTATTGCCTACTAACATAGGTGATCGTAAATACCCTCAAATTAAATGCTGAATGTATTGTTCAAAGACAGCTCAATTACACGAAACGACACGCACTTCGACCATTTAATTTATGAAAACAGTCGACGAAAGGAAGGTGTTTACTTGGTAAATGATTGCCCTTGATTATTTTTCACGGATTTCCAACTTTATGACTGGTATAAAACCACTTAAAATTATTAAACTTAAACATACTGTAACTTTAAATCAATATAAAGTTTAAAATATGCAATAATATAGTGAATAATTTTTGGATGAATTTGAAACCAAACAAAACAAATTCTCATATTAAAATGGGATTATATTAATAGACTATCCTCCAACTAAAACCGAAATGGACATATTAACAGCCTAATGAAGGCCAATAATCATGGCCCCAAGAGACAACATGAACAGAATATTTGAGTTTAAGCAAAATTTCCAAAAAAAAAAAATTGTGGTGTTTAGTGACCTTTAGCCAATGATTATTTGGAGATAGTGAGATGAGGTGTGGTGTGAACGTAGGTTAAAAAAAAATTTTCTTTATCGTGCCAACGTTTCGATCTTTATTGAGATCATCTTCAGGGCTCAAAGTGTTTGTTTTCCATAAAGATGTGTCATTCTTGTCTATCGTGTTGAGAGTGCCCAGGCAAACTTTGAGCCCTGAAGATGATGTCAATAAAGATCGAAACGTTCGCCCGACAAAGAAACTGTTTTTTCTAAAACCTACGTCACACCAGACCGCATCTCACTATCTCCAAATAAACTTTGAGTGAGTACAAATATTTTGATTGAATCTAAAATTTATTGCATTGTATAAATTCATTTTTTCTTCTTTTTTTTTGTCACATCCTATAAGTATTTTTAAAATGTAAACAATGTTTATAAATCCCAGGCACTGAAGATGATCTCAATAAAGGTCGAAACGTTGGCACGATAGAGAAAATGTTTTTCCAAAACCTACGTCACTCCTGACCGCATCGCACGATTTCCAAATAATTTTCTAACAAATTTAAGTTATAAAAAAATGGGAAAAAGCCAAAAACCCTTTACCAATACCGGCACAAACTGCTGGCAAAGTGACGGATCTAGAACGCAGGAAGGTAGTGGGCTGAGGTATTCGGTCCTTACACACCAGTACCTTCCAGGCTACTATCATGAATTCAATTGAGAGATGTACTCAGTTCAAATAAACAAAGGACACAAAACAAGAAAATAGCTCTCATATCAGATAGCCAAGGGACCATCAAAGCACTAAATTCAAACATTAGCTCAAAGAGGGGCTGAATCCCAAAACTAAATTAAATATATTAGGTGTGCAAAACAAAGCCACTCCCTGCTGGCTCCCAGGAAATGTGGAAGTAGAAGGGCAACGAGAGAGCGGGCGCTCTTGCAAGGCAAGGAAAATGCCATACAGCTGATAGGTCGTGGGTACTTCTGGTATTAATATGTATCTTTCATTTCTTTTCATTCATTCTGTTATTTCATTTCAAGTTTTTTCTTCAACAAATCAAGCAAGAAAAACTTCCAATCTGGCAGGATTCTTGACCGGACACTGAATACTAAATGTTCATCTGAAAAAGATTAGTATAATCCATGGTGCTGATTATGCAAAGGAGCAGAGGTTACACCAACACTCTTACTAACAAACTGTTAACCAACGCCACTTTTGAAGGCGGAAGGGTTTTGAGATGTACAACGAAGAAATTGAAGAAGTTCAACCAATGAAACTAGACCTACGAATCAAATTACTTGTGAAACAGGACTCACCGGTGTGCTATAACAGAACGGGGAATTCAATAGTTCTCAAAGGGCGCATTATATTGCCCCCAGAACATTACATCTAAATCTAGTCCATAGGTTTGTCCTGAAAAGACCAGAATTTTATTTTATATACATCTATTTATATTATTTATTTCGATTATAACTCTAAAATTTTGAACAGCGTATTATATATTCATATATCACTTAGCACTTAAGACGGTAAAATAATTAATCAAATCTAAATTTTAGTAACGAATAATATCTAAATGTGTGGATTTTTATATTTAGAAATAATTGAAAACCCGAATGCTTTCATTGGCCCCCACCCATGTAATGGATAGACGAAAAAACGTTTTGTATTTGTAACAAACCTGGCCTTTTTAAATGTCAGCTTTCCAAGGAAAATCCAATCGAAGAACAAGTGTTATTAGATTGTATAACAGTGTTGTGTTCTGTTTGCATAGAAACGGCAATCTGGGTTAGGTATAGGCCGAGTTTTTGTCCGAGTGTTTTTCGACAAACGGACCAGGCTGGCCGGTACGGACGGTATAGACGGTTTTTACGTAGTAAAGCCCTTTTGACCCTTTTTGCGCAAGCACTAAAGCGTCTAATTCATTTTTATCTTGTTATACTCCCAGAGGGGCACTTAAGGGCCGGATGTCTGCAGGGTTTTACTACGGTTAACGGTTAAGAGGACCGGCCAGGCCGGATGACCTTCTGAAAACGTTGGACGATGATTAAACAGTATGATAAAAGTATCATCTGCTCTTGTAGGAAATGAGAAACAGCTATTTCTCAGTGTTTATCGTCCATTTACTTTATTTCACATTTCATTTTAGACTTTTGGAATCAATTTTCCATCTTAGGCCAAAAATATAAAACCAATAAACTGAATTATATTCAAACTACACACTACATACAATATTAATAATAATCATTATCAATATATGCTTAAAGGGTGTCCTTTTTAGATGGCCTGGCTGAATTTATGTTGAACAGATTACGTTATCGGAAAACCGAAATATATATATTTAATATATTTAGTTTAGATTTAAATGTTTACCACTTTTATAAAGATATTGATTTTTACAACTTTAAATTTGAATTGACAATGTATACTTTTTACTCATTTTTTAAAATGGTTTTATCGTGAAAATTATGGCGCAATCAGATTTTAAATTTGTCAAAGAATAGCAAAGGTACAGCACAGAATGTGGAAACGAATATCTTAATATCGTTATTCAATATTTTTATATTCTGTTTGGTGCTAGTCGGTTTTTCGATGTTTAAGAAACTCGCGAATAAGTATTTTTCAGAATTTCGTTTTTAATTTTTTCTGAGCTTTGTTGATGGTTGTTTTGAAATTTTTTATACATCTGGTCTTATTGTATTTAGACAGTACGAAAAGAAAGTTGAGCTAAATTCGGACTTTTGTTTAGCTCAATGAACTATAAATATTCTTCAGTAAATTTTTTTCCGTGAAATAAAATGAGCCAAAGGGTTCATTTTTTTAACAAGATCGGTTGATACGCATGATACTTTCATCGAAAGTGGCGGAATTGCTCGTCGTCCACTCAAGTTGTGCTCCGAGAAAATTCCCAAACACTTCTGTTCAACCACAAATCGCTAATTCGTGTTGCACACAATATGGGGACATGTGGATTGGCTCGGGGTCCACCAAAAAGCCGACAACCACTTTGATGAGGAAACAAACATTCTGTTGAATGTTCTCAAAATTTCATACTCTTTCCTTCGAAAGTTTAGATGTATTTTAGGTTTTTCAACAAGTCCTCAGAAGCAGAATGAAATATTTTCCCATACATGGTGTAGACTGGTGAATTCAAGTTTGTATTGGTGGAATTTTCGAAAGTGTTAAACTAACTATCCATGTAATCACAAAGATGTTCACATTTTGTATTATAATTTTATTATTCTCTGACCAATTTAAAATCTGATTGCGTCAACGTTTTCCGTGTAAAACTCATTTCAGTGGTAAAAGTATCGACCACTTTTTCAATCACACACACTCTGGATCAAGACATAGTCTTGAAAAAAAAAAGCAAATTCAGTTGTTACTGCCAACTTTTCAACCTATTTTAAAGCCATCATCAGTGCAAAATAATCTTAACTATGTCTGTAGATGAGAATTTTTACATTTTTTATAGGCGATTTCGAATTTCCTTGAATGCCGACTTAATGACAGCCTTTGAAGAATAAAGAAATAAATAAAATAAATTTAAAAAATAAAGAAAAAGAATAATAAAATATAAAATAGGTATTTTTCTGTTTTTCTATAATGTTACCTGGTCAAGAAAGATTCAGCCAGGCCATTAAAACTGACACCCTGATACACGATATATGATCTTAATTAAATTCAAGTAATTAAGGTTTTTAGTTGAGATAAAAAAGTCAGTGTCACGAGCGGGATTCGAACCCACGACCTTCGGCTTAATACGCCGCTACTCTACCACTTGAGCTATCGTGACTTC